AATCCGAGAACATTTTTGGAAAGCCATAAAAATCGATATCCACCGGTGAGATCCGTAATGAGCTACCTCCGTGCCTTACCACAGCATCTGGCACTATATCGGACAGGGCCACCGTGTCAAATTGTTTTAATGAGCATTTTGTGTCCTGTGGCTCTCTGTTTGATTCTGTCACTAACTCTGCTTCTGTGAACACCACAGTCCGTGACTCTGAACAATGTGATTTGGAAAACCCTTTTAGTTTCTCTCCTTTTACTATTGATGTTGTTCATGAAGCCTTAACCAAGCTAGATCCTAAGAAACAGGCTGGCCCAGACAACGTAGAACCTTTCTTTTTAAAGATAGCTGCAGATTTTATTGCACCACCTGGACTTCTCTTTTTAACCTCTCCCTCAGCACAAACACAATTCCAAAAGTATGGAAGTCAGCTTAGGTCCTTCCTCTACTAAAAGGTGGGGAGGCAACTATTTTGAATAATTATAGGCCCATCTCTAAATTGTCAGTTCTGGCCAAGGTTCTTGAACGCCTAGTGAGTGAGCAGGTAAAGGTGTTTATATGTAAAAATGACATCTAAACATCAGTCAGGCTTCAGAAAGCAACATAGCACCATCACTTGGACAATGAAAGTGGTGAATGATATTGCGGGTATCTTAGACAAAAAGCAGAGTTGTGCAGCTCTGCTTTTTTAATCTTTCCAAAGCGTTTGATACCGTCGATCATCCCTATCTGTATATGTCACTAGCTATGTAAACAGTAGTTGCTGTAAATATGCTGTACGATGTCCTTTTTGTTTTTCTGTTGTTTTATGTTTTACATGTATTAATGTGGAACCTACTTGCAGCAGGTCACCCTTGAAAAAGAGATCAATGGTCTCAATGGGGTTCACCTGCATACATAAAGGTTTGAAATGAAATGAAACATCATGGCAAATGATCCAAAGCAAGGGGCCAGGAAAAAAATGGCTTGAAATATGAGCAATCATATTAAGAGCTTCAGATACAGTAAATACTACAGCAGGTCACCCTTGAAAAAGAGATCAATGATCTCAATGGGGTTCACCTGCATACATAAAGGTTTGAAATGAAATGAAACATCATGGCAATTTCACAATATTTTGTTTACAATCACATTTAATAGTTTGCAGCATGTCATGGTATTGAAGGGCAAAGTGACATCATCCTTCCTGATCTCAAAGACTTCAAGGAAGAGAGTATGTCACCTTTCATAAAACCTAGATACATTAACAAAATGAGAACATATCACCCTAGGAATTAAATGAATGAATTAAAANTGCAGCTGAGCGACTCATTCACGCCTTCATCTCCTCCCGCCTTGACTACTGCAACTCACTCCTCTACGGCATCAGCTCCACCTCCCTAAGTAGACTCCAGTGTGTCCAGAACGCAGCCGCCAGACTCCTCACCCACACCAAATCATTGCATCACCCCGTTCCTCAAAGAACTCCACCGGCTTCCTGTCTCTCACCGCATCCACTACAAACTCCTGGTCCTCACATACAAAGCCTTCCACCACCTGGCCCCCTCCCCCTAACCTCACTGACCTCCTCATCCTCTACCAACCCCCCCGGTCCCTCAGATCCACCTCAGTCGGTTTCCTTCCCACCCCCAAGGCCAGACTCCGGAGCTTTGGGGACAGAGCCTTCTCTGTGGCAGCCCGAAGGTCTGGAACTCCTAACTCTTAATCCTAGGGGTTAGGGTTATTTAGAGAGTCTGAAAAAAAGTGTGTATTTAGAGTCTTCAAAATAGTGGCGACAGATAGCCCACAAGTACCGTTTTTTTGTATATTCTGAGTCCCTCAACCTGTTCCAGTCCCGCTTCAAGACCTTTCTCTTCTCATCAGTACACTCATA